GTGGCGCCAGTGTCCGGCAGCCTCGCCTCTGTCAGTGGCTACAATGTATCTTGCCATCGATAATGGGTGAATGACTGAATGTAGTGTAAAGCGCTTTTTGGGTCGTTAGGGACTAGAAAAGCGCTATACAAATGCAGGCCATTTACCATTTACTTTTTCTTTTCCGTTGAATGCTTCCCTGAAGTGATGACACAAAGCCTTGAAAAGTGAGTATAATGAGTAAAGTCATAACAAATGGATTGGCTACAGAACCTGCTGGGGGGCTGCTCGGGGCTGCTCAAAGGGTCACTGGAGAATGCGGGTATCGATCCCGCTACCTCTCGCATGCAAAGCGAGCGCTCTCCCATTTGAGCTAATTCCCCTTTGTCGGTTGGGGATTGTAGCTTCATCTTGTCATATGGACCTTTAACTCCGGCGGATCTAAAAAGGACGCCTCGCCTTCATGGGTTTCTGGGCATGCCAACTACAACAAGACCCCGTGGTAGAATCACTGTGCATACGAGACATTAAGGACCAACTCTAGTCTGGGCACTACACATGATGCTGGGAGACTGTCACCGTTTGTGGAAGCACCTTTCAGCTGCTTCTGGAGGAGATAGAATCTATAATAGGGAACTCAAAACTGGATTATAGATAGCATCTATAATCCAGTTTTGAGTTCCATCCCCAGACGCCTTAACGCCCACTCATATCCTGGGCCATCTGACCTCAGGAATTCGTATGATAAGGTGGGGCCAGGTTTCACAACGATCTCATCCGAAACTCTGGCTGATTGGGACCCACACCCAGTTTCACACCTTGGCTCAGCCGATTAGAGGATCATCAGGGGGGTCCTTTTGTCCCTCTGTGTGGGGACACTCCCACTAGGTTTAAATCTGGGACTCTCCACCATTTGACCTTAGAACTGAAGAAGCTTCTCCGATGAGAGGTGAAACGTCTTCAAGCAACTTAAAGAAGTCCAGATGCTTTTCTTAGCAAGCTCCTTTGACTACGATGACCTGGATGACTGAGAACCTTCACAGACATATTACTATGCTGATGTTTGTTCTTCAGATAGTTAAGGGATGTTTTTGAGTTATCAGAGGTACAGGACTACACTTGTGATTGCTCATAGCACAGTCTGTTTATTTATGTATAATAAGTTAGAAGAAATAGTCAAAGCTAGCTCGAATAACCTGCTGAAAACTCTCCAATCCTTTTCCTTCACACGCGACAGATACATTTATCAAAATTACATCATTTGACATCAAAATACATATTCAGACATTGAAATCTGAGTAGTTATTTTTAAATACCAAAGATTTCCAACAAACATGGCTTTAACGTTACAGTATGCTTGTATGCTTGGCTTCGTTGTTTTTTTAAACGTAAGTGCAGAAAGTTCAGAAGAGTTCATGTTTATAGTTTGTTTTAGATTTGAATACAGAAACTGAGAGTCTCTTTCTCTCCTCTTTGCTGTACGTCCCTGTTGTTATTGGGCTCCACCCGCCTGTGGAGGAGAACCTTCGCTGTCTTCATCCCAAGACGAGGACGTGAACCCAGCAGGAGCGGAGATAGAGTGGGGTGCCGTGGTGTGGCCGAGCCCCTGATAGCGCCCACTTGACGAAGGGGAGGTGGGCATCGACGTGGCTGCCACGGCGATGGGGTCCTGCGAGGTGGCTGCGAGGAGGCCGGTGTGCTCAGTGTGCTCGGGTCGAGCCGCAGCACCGAAATACATCTTGTTGGGACGACCCAGGAACGTCCGGCCTGAGCGGGGAGGGAGGAAACAAACATGTAACAGCTGCAGTGTCTTTTTTCCCTTTTTCTACACTCAAAATTACAGTTTTTCTCAGTCGCTTTGGTGCGTTTCTCAGATCAGAATTGAAATTCTCATAACTATTAGTTCAACC